GGCGCATGCCACCATGCCTGGCTAACTTTTGTATTTTTAGTAGAGACAGGGTTTCACCATGTTGGTCAGGCTAGTCTCAAACTCCTGACCTCATGATCCACCTGCCTTGGACTCCCAAAGTACTGGGATTACAGGCGTGAGCCATCATGCCCAGCCAGGACCTTTTTCTAAGAACATAAAGTACTTACCATCCATATTCTTTCTCAGCTTTGTGGCTTCAGCCAAAATTTCAAGACATCAAAAAAGTTCGATTTGACATCCCATAACCTATATTTATATATCTATTATGTAACATGTGGTAAAGTGACTGAAACATAACAGGCACTCACTACATATTTTTGAATGGAAAAATAAAGAGAGGAAAAGAGACAGGGCAGTGAGAAGAGAGCAGGTGAGCAAGAAATGGAGATAAAATAGGAAGCATAAGGGCAAAGAGGGCCAAGATTCAAAATTTATCATAAATTATTTCAAAATAAATGGCCTACATAGTATATGTTGAATAGCAGCATGAGCAGAAGTTCAAAGTGAGGCATTATATTTTCTCTTTTTTTAAAAAAGCATACTAGAAAATGAGTGAGGCCAACAATTTTCTATTAAAAAGAATTAAAATCCATAGCTTTAAGCAATTGTACTTCCCACAGTGAAATATCAAAATATTCTTAACATATAGAGGGAAAAAGTGAATAAGATATATGAATATTAATATAAAGAGATTTCAAATGATACCAGAAGTTCAAGGTCAGAGTTTAGATAGGGGACACAGTAGATGCTGATGTCTATTGAGCATTAGCATGTGTCAAACCCTGCATTTGGCATTTTACAATTGTCGACTCATTTAATCCTTGGGACAGTCATATGAAGAACTGCAGCCATTTACAGATATGGGAAAAGGGTCTCAGAAAGTTCAAATCACTTGACTTCAATCAGTTTAAACAGCTGCATAGCTAAACTGATTGATCTGAATCCACATCTGTGACTTGAGAGAGCCCGTGTCCAGGATTACTAATGCCTGCTTTCCTACTCTTAGAAATTTTCACAGTCATTCGACGGAATTATGGCTACTGTCCTAGAAACTGCAATCACCCATCTCCCTTGCATCCTTGCATCTCAAATAATAGTATTTGAGGGGAGTGCTGTGTGAGCTTCTAGAAATAGTCTTTGTATTATGTTTTTTTAATGTGAGTCTGCTTTCTAGGGAATAGAAATATTCTTAAAAGGCAAATCGGTGCCTTGATTGCTTTCGACTTTATCCCTTCCTAGGTCTGCCATTCTCGTGACCCTAAAGATGATGGTCATATTCTTGGGATGGCAGAGCGAGGGGCTGTCAGTAGCCTGGGTTCCTGCTTCTTAGAGCAGAACCAACATAGAAGACATGGTTTGTCTTCCTCTGGACTTTCACCTGAGAAGAGCAGACTTTCAAACTCTTACATGGCTGTTTACTTGGGGCCACAGTTATAGCGAATACAGAACTTAGTACCCCGCAGGAGGTGCTCCACATAATGGAAATGGAAATATGCGGTATAACGAAGGTCGTGTTGTTAGGTGAGAGGTGGTTTAAGTGTTCAGAATCTTCCAGATTCTGCAGAAATCTGGGCATACTTGTTTGGCAGTGGGAACATTTGGTTCAAATGGATCCTACTCTGCCCTGGAAAATGTATTACCTGCTGAGTATGACTGTAGCATGAGGGGAAAAGGTAAGACAAATTCAGAATTTTTCTGTGGCTTGGGTGCTCTGCAGCTTTTTAGCAGAGACTCACAGAAGGGAGCTCAGGCTGGAGAGCACAGTGTGCGAGCAGAGGAGGGAAGGAAGCCAGCCCTCTCTACCTGCAAGCCTAGCTGACTGAGAGCATGGCAATTTGGAGCCTTGGAGGGTTGAAACAGCCAATACCCTCTGTGCCTGATGGGAGCCCTCAGTAGTGTAGATCCCAGACAATGGCCTTAGGGGAAGAAATACTGTGGTCCTAAGCTTTTCCCCAGCACCTTCGTTAAGGATTGAATGCCAGACCTGGGATCCAGCCAGCAATAAACATCACACCATGGGTGTGGCCTTTCCCTTAAACCTTTCCCACCACATCCACCAAACAGAGACAGAGGCAGGCATGGGCAGAGCACAGGTGCCAATTACAGAGCAGTGTTCAGGCTTAAAGCTTCATCCAAGCAAGATCTGTGGCAGTGGTTTAAATGGCCAATGAGGGGGATGAAATAAATACACAAGAAGCCAACTGAGTTATTGGAGGCAATTGTATTGCAAAAGTGAAGACAGCCTTGACACAGGCTATAATTCTTCCTCCCTCTAGTTTAAAACTATACAATCTATGTAGCCTTAAGAGAGAATATAGTCCGCAAAGCTCACCTCAGCTGTGGGGAAAATGTTAAACAACAAAGAACCCTCTAGGTTCATGGAGGGCAATGGTCAAGATGGCATATCACAGAGTAGAAGCAGACAGGGCTGCCTGAGAAAGGAAGCACTTGTGATTCCTGCCCAGCAAAATCCCATCACTGTGTTTCTTCTGCCCACTTCCTGGTTTTGAATGGAAAGTCTCCTGGCTTCCCCTCACTCTATTCCTCTCCCTCTTCCTTCCCCCTCCCTTCTCCTCTCCCTCCCCTTTCCCTCTTCTCTTCTCCCCTTCCTTTGAATCCCCTCCTCTCTTCTCCTCTTTTCCTTCCCCTCCCCTTCTCTTTCTTTTCTTTTTTTTTTTTTTAACCCCTCTCCTCCCCTTCCTTCCCCTCCCTTTCACTCCTCCCATCTCCTTTCCTTCTCATTTCTGACTCATGGCTATCCTGCTTCTCATGCACCACTGTATGTAGAGTGAGATGGGGGTGAATCACTCACCTTGTCTCTTCTTGGTCATTCGGCCATGAGGAGTCATGAGGATCTGATGGAGGGTGCTGCCTAGCCCATAGGTTCTGGACTTCTGGTGACCTGCAGTGACTGGGCAGATCTTTACAGTGGAGAGGGTCTGTGGGTTCTATCTGATTAGAAGAGAATACATAAATATATGTGAAAGACTGTGGCAGGAACTGTAAGTTAACATCCAACATCTGGATCTTATCTTTTCTTATCTTTTTCTTATCTTTCCACATAGTAATAGGACCCCTATTACTATAGCCCCTATGTTTAGGTGGCTCAGGGTGGTGCAAAATCAATACCATATTTCTCAGCATCCTTTGAGGGCTGCTTTAGTCATGTGATGAATTCTGACTACAAGTGTGCACCACCACATCCGGCTAATCTTTAAATTTTTTGTAGAGACAGGGTCTTGCTATGTTGCCCAGGCTGGTCTTGAATTCTTGGCCTCAAGCTATCCTCCTGCCTTGACCTCCCAAAGAGCTGGAATTACATGCGTGAGCCCTGCTCCAAGTCCAACCTGGTTCATGAGCCTGGAATGTTGAGGGTGCCTAGTACCAGACATGTTCGTCCCAGAGCTGCTCTGCACAGGACTTCTGGCTTCACAACAGTTTTTGTCTGGTGGCCCAGATTCTCAGTCATGTTTTTCTCAAGTGCTGACTCTCGGAGGTTGGAATTAGTTTCTTTCAGGCATTCTCAATTCACTCTGCCTCCAAGATTTTAAATGATTTCATCTGATGAACAGTGACCATCTCAGCGTGAGGACTCTAAGGAGTATAAATGTCATTTGTGGTCTGGTTTCTTTTTCTATCTTGGCATCTGTTATGGACTGCATGTCTGTGTTCCCCCAAAATTTATGAGGAATGATATGGGAATTTGGGAGGTAATTAGGGTTAGATGAGGTCAAGAAAGTAGAGCCCTTATGATGGAACCAGTGTCTTCAGAAGAAGAAGAAATAGCTCCCCCACCCCTGCCCTCCCCTCCCTTCCCCTCCCCTCCCCTCCCCTCCTCTCCCTTCCCCTTCCCTCTTTCCCTGCCACCCTCTCTCTCTCTCTCTCCACAAGCCAGCAAGAGAGCCCTCACCAGAAAATGAATCAGCTGCCACCTTGATCTTGGACTCCCAGTTTCCAGAATTATGAGAATTAAATTTCTGTTGTTTAAAGTACCCAATTTGTGGCATTTTGTTATGGTGGCCCCAGTGGACTAAGACAGCACCACAATGTAAAACCACACACACACACACACACACACACACACCCCCCCCAGTGGACTAAGACAGCATCACAATGTAAAACCACACACACACACACACACACCCCAGTGGACTAAGACAGCATCACAATGTAAAACCACATACACACACACACACACACACACACACACAGCCAGTGGACTAAGACAGCATCACAATGTAAAACCACACACACACACACAATGCGTGGCACACATTTTTACCCAGTCAAACTCCTTCTTACACCAAGAATTCTTCTCTGCTTTGGAGCAGCTCAGTGAGTACAAGATGCTGGAAGATGCGCCCTGCAGGGCAGAATGCCCAGGCATGGGGCACAGCCCTGGCCCTGTGTCCCTCCGTTTCCTCAGGATTGCTTAGGTGTTGGGCTCTTGGTCGTGGCTACATTAGGACTAAATTTCGGATGGAAACGGGCATGACACACATGCTGAGAGCACTCCTCGCTCCCTGGGGCATTAAATCACCTTGTTATTTAGTGCCCTCTAGAATCCTCTAATTTACATGTGGTCTCTTCTCATAGAAGTGTCTCAAGTAAATCTGAATTTGTTTAGACAATTTTATGGGTATTGTAAAACCACAATTGAATTTCAGGGCTTTGTCACAGTCCAGCCAAGATGCACTCCAATTAGAAATAATTGCTATTAATGATGTTATGACGTGGGGGATGCCTGCAGTGCTCCTGGACCTTTGTTGTACTGAATCCCCGAAGAGTCTGAGCTTTATTCTTCAACTAAATAGACAGGACCCTAGAAGATACGCTTCTGGAATTGTAATATTACAGCAATATTGTGCTTCTTTCTTAATTAACCTTGTTAACCAAGGATTTGGAACGTCGGTGGGTGACTCTAAGAGGGCCTTTGTTATCCTCTCAGTACACATCTACAGTGGAGTAAGATGTCACTCTGTGAAATAAAACGCCTTTATTCTTTGGCATACACCAAATACCTTCATCATTCTTTGAGTAATGATTGACAGTCTTGTTTAATGAAATAACGTTTGTCAAATACTTAATTTGCTGCCAGACACAGTAAATGGTGAGTTATGATTGTTATAGTATTATCATAAAACAAGTTTTTTTTTTTTTTTTAGGCTTTCTGAATGGAAAGGAAATACAGGACAGAGCTGTCATGTTTGTGGAGGCCACTCAAGGTAAATCAGACCACAGTGGATTCCACAGTTTACACTCCCTGAGATCACTGCCCCATGACAGCATTTTACCCCCAAGATAGTCAAATTCGCAATTCTTTAGACTTTTACAGGGTCTCCCAAGGTACCGCTCATCCCTTCCTTACTCCCCACAAGAGGGAAGTGACAAAGGCTGCTGTTTCTCTTGCAAGGCTGCCCCCGCCAGCCTGAGAAGGAGTTCCAGGGATATGGTAATTAACATATTTTTCTTAATCTTGCTTTTGTAGTTAATCTCCAAAGCATGAAAGCACTTTGCCAGTTGATTAAACTGTAAGAATACAATAGATCCGAAGTGAGGGCAGCACTGATGAATGTAAATGCATAAAATTGCCCATTCTGCAGGAAAATGCCTCAACCTGAATCCCAACTTGAAACACTAAGTTAAACACTTAAAATTAATTGCATGAATATATTTTTTGGATCAATAGATAGCAAAAAACCTAACTTGGTAGAATTTCATCTTCAAAATAAGAAGCAACCACTCTTTGATGTCTTCTAGGAAACAAAAGTGATTCGATTTAAGAGTTTGGTCTAGGATCACCGCCTATGAGGGGGGTTCAGGGAATGCCCAGTAAGGCTCTTGGGGACAATGGTGCTGGATGGGCCTTTAGCCAGACTGGCACTCAGTCTGGGTATCCAGGAGGGCATTCAGAGATAAGTATTTGTGTAGCTGTTTTGGAAAGAAGGGCATTTGAGGCGGGGCTTTTCTACATTAGGTGGTACAGGTTCAAAAAGGCCAGAGCGGAGAGCAAGGAGGTGGGAATCCAGAGCTGTGTGTCCTCTGGAGAGAGGGCATTCTGACTGGATACCCACATGTCCTCTTTGCCCCTCAGCCCTGCTCCCCAATGCAGGTTAACCACAGCCACCAGCTCCATTTGAGCCACCTCCCCAACGACCAAAAAGCTCAGGGCAGCTTGTGGCCATGGCTTATCACTTTCTTACATCTGCGGTAAATGGAAATGACAAAAATGGGCTGTCTTTATTTTTGGAAAACAAATAGCAAAAGAAAAAACCAAAACTCAACCAAATAGGTGATAGCAACATTATTTTCAAATGCATTGGTTGAAAATTCTAGTCCAGATAATAGAACAGGAGTGGTACTTGTGGTCTCCAGCTATATTCCACTGTCAGACAAAAATACTTTTCTTCATTGAAGTACACATTATGTAACATTGTGTATCAGATGACCTCAGCCATAAAGTTGGTCTTTAGAGCTTCTTCTTTCGTTCAAGAAAGCCATCCATTGCATGAAAGATGTCAAGATAGTCACCTATAAGCAGTACTGTCTTGAGGGGCAAAAAGCTAAAGAGAACACAAGAATAAACTTTCGTGATTATCATTCATGAAAGCCTCTTTAGCACCTCTACTGAAAAGCAGTGTCACCTCTTGCGGCAGATGAAGTCATTCACTCATGCACACACTATGCAGCCTGACTGCTACCTGCCTCAGGGTCACTGGGCCTTCTTCACTATATCAGAGGACACTTGCCCAGGGCCTCGACAGGTTTTGTGGCTTTACTTAAGTTATTCAATTCACTTCTCATTTCGGTTTCCAAAGCATCACTCCACTGTACAATGACACAGAGGAAGCAGTGAAGTGTTGTGGTGTAGGCATGGGCTCTGGGGGCAGATGAGCCTGGCTGGAATCCTAGCTCTTGTCATTTGCAATGCCACCTTAGGCAACTGACTCAGCTCACAGACCTCAATTTCCTCAGCTGTAAAATGAGGTCATCAATCTGCCTTTCTGGGACTACTATGAGGATGAGATGCAATAACTCCTCAAACCTTGGGCAAGACTCAACTAACACTTCATTTTCTCCATCCCCGCCTGCCCCTCTGCAAAGCCATATATATGCATGATCATCATCCCAACAGAGCACTCTGCTCCACTGGCCTTAGCATTCAATACTGCAGAGCAAGGAAACAAAGCAGGCACAGGAAACCTGAGACTCATCCTAAGGTGGGGAGTAAAGGAAAGGACCCCATGCTCCTTGTTCCCCTGTTTGGGCACCCCAAGATCTACAGGTGGTTCATCCCCTCCACCGTTTCAAGTCTCTAGTCAACTACTACCTTCTTTATGAGACTCCCCCCACCCATTAAATACCACTCTTAAAATTAAATCTCACAGGCTGGGCACGGTGGCTCATGCCCATAATCCCAGCACTTTGGGAGACTGAGGTGGGCAGATCACAATGTCAGGAGTTTGAGACCAGCCTGGCCAACATGGTGAAACCCTGTCTCTACTAAAAACACAAAAATTAGCCAGGCGTGGTGGCACATGCCTGTAATCCTAGCTACTCAGGAGGCTGAGGTAGGAGAATTGCTTGAAACCGGGAGGTGGGGGGTTGCAGTGAGGCATGATCGTGCCACTGCACTCCGGCCTGGGCAACACAGCAAGAGTCTGTCTCAAAAGAAAAAAAAAATTAAATCTCGCCGAGATGTGGTGGCTCATGCTTGTAATCCCAACGCCTTGGGAGGCTGAGGTGGGAGGATTGCTTGAAGCCAGGAATTTGAGACCAGCCTGGGCAATATAGCAAGACCCCATCTCTAAAAAAATAAAAATAAATTAGCTGTGCATAATGGTGCACAACTATAGTCCCAGCTATTTGGGAGGCTGAGGTGGGAGGATGACTTGAGCCTGGGAGTTTGAGGCTGCTGTGGGCTATGATCGCACCACTGCACTCTAGCCTGGGTGACAGAACAAGACCTTGTCTCCAAAAAAAATTAAATAAGTAAAATTAAAAAAAAAAACGTAAATCTTGGCCAGGCGCAGTGTTTCACGCTTGTAATCCCAGCACTTGGAGTCCGAGACCAGCCTGGCCAATGTGGTGACACCCCGACTCTACTAAAAATACAAAAATTAGCCAGGCATGGTGGCAGGCACCTGTAATCCCAGCTGCTCGGGAGCCTGACACAGGAGAATCACTTGAACCCGGGAAGGTGGGGGTTGCAGTGAGCCAATATCGCGCCATTGGACTCTAGCCTGGGTGATGAGCAAAACTTCATCTAAAAAAAAAAAAAAAAAAAAGTAAAAAAAGTAAAACTCAACTTGCACCCATCTACCTCCCACTGTGGGATTTCCTTTTTTCCCTTTCCTGCTTTATATTTCTTTAGAGCACTTACGGTCTTTTCTTTTACTTTACTGTTTTTTTTTTTGTTTCTTTTCTGTCCCCTCACCCCACAGGAAGTGATTTCCACATGGGCAGGGACCACTGTTTGTCTTGTTCTTTGCTGTAACCCTGAGCGCAGATCCTTGGATGGTGGGTGATTCATGACACACACAGCACTCTCTGAATGTTTGCTGAATGAATGTTTGGTGGAGTGTTTGATGTGACTGCCTTTACTGAGCTTCTTCACCTTGCCTTTGGCTTACTCAGCAGCTATCTAGCCCTCTCTCAAAACATGTCCCATAACTAGTATGTCATAAAACTAAACATAATCTCCACAGTTATTCAAAGTAGAAAAATTAAGTTCCATGTTCTTACCATTGGCATTACTGTAATATAATCTATCTATTAAGCAAAAAGAACTTAGTGTGTTGTGTGAATGCACACCCTGCCCAATAAACAGTGCATTACATGAATCTACAAGCTATGACAAACATTGTCTCTACATTGTAAATGAAGAAGCCAAAACCTGGAGAATAAAGGGCATGCTCAGAGTCACAGACTTAGTCAATAGTGGGATCATAAGCCTGGATTTCGAATTGCTTATCAAGGATCCTTTGCTCTGTCCCACACAGCCTCAGTCAGGCATTCTGACCCCTCCTGTGCCAGATGAAGCCTGGAGAAATGATAGGATGCAAGAATGACATTTGGAAATAATCTTGCCAGTGAGGCAAGATTTAACTAGATGACCTGTTACAGTCTAGAAAATGAATTGAGGTAACAGGAATCAGCAGCGCACCACTATCCTTGTAACCGGGTCAAATGCTCATTCAGTACCTATGAATTTCAGCACTGAAACTCCATGGAGAGCAGGGAAGGGTGCACAAGAATGCTTTTTCTACTTTTTTTTTTTTTTGACATGGAGTTTTCGGTCTTGTTGCCCAAGCTGGAGGGCAACGGCGTGACCTCAGCTCACTGCAACCTCTGCCTTCCCGTTTCAAGCGATTCTCCTGCCTCGGCCTCTGGAGTAGCTGGGATTACAGGCACGCGTCACTGTGTACTTTTTTTATTTTTTAAGAGACAGAGTCTCACTCTGTTGCCAAGATGGAGTGCAGTGGTCTGATCGTGGCTTACTGCAGCCTCAAACCCCTGGGTTCAAGCAATCCTCCTGCCTCAGCTTCCTGACTAGCTGGGACTATAGGTGTGTACCAGCTTCAAATTCCTGGGCTCAACCAATCCTCCTGACTCAGGCTCCTAAGTAGCTGGGACTACAGGCTTGCACTACCATGCCTGGCTTATTTGTTATTTTTGTAGAGATGGGGTCTTGCTTTGTTTCCCAGGTAGTCTCGAACTCCTGACCTCAAACAATCCTCTCACCTTGAACTCCCAAAGTGCTGGGATTACAAATGTGAGCCGCTGCTCCCAGCCCTTTCTTGTGCTTTTAAGAGGTGGTTTTACGTTTTTTCCCTCAAATTCTTTAACCATCCTAAGAGTTCGAATTTATTATGTATTACTAATCGTACCCATACCACAAATTTCTGTAGCACTTGGCTTACTGTCTAGCCTTGACTTTGGGGCCCTGTACCTGAGGAGGCATGGATACAATATCTATTCCAACAGGATTATTTTATCATGAGCACAAGAAAATCTCTCCTAAAAATGATCATTTCAATCTTTCCATCTGCCAGTACATTCACTTCTTTTTCAGAATAATTCGATACTAAGGTGGCAGGAAGGGTTAGACCCCATTTTCTTGACTCATGGGGGCACTGCAACTATGTAAATTTGGTATTGTGTCAGCAATGGGCACAATGATAGAATTAACAGGACTTAATAGAATTAAATGAATGAATTTTAATTTATCAGGTATTTTTAAAGTGGCTTCTCCTGGTGGGATTTGGAGTAAACTGTAGATTGGCATGTTAGGGAAGTAATAGAAGCTAACATAATTACCTTTTAAGAAACATCATGAAGTATAAAAACTTTGGCATATAGAAGTACATTTTTTCTTGTAGAATAGCTTCTACTATTTTTTCCGCGGCATATTCTGGTTCCAGAATTGGCAACAGAGAAGGACAACTAGAATATAAAATGACAACAATTAAAAAAAACCCCAAAGGCCAAATTCACAAATAAAGATAGTTTTTCAAATTAGGGATAAAAGGTTTTAAGACGTTATCACTTTTTTCTTTCCCTTTCAAATTTCATTTATTTTTATATTTACTCCTTTATTGTCAATGTGTCAATGCAGTCAGTAGTAACATAACTAAAATATGAAATGAAAAGTGATTCTCATTAACACACTGATATTACAATATACATATATGTGAAATCATATTAAACAAATATTCCAAATATTTGTAAGGCAAGCTGTTGAAAACACATTGCCTGTAGTCTCCATGAGATACAGAATTGGGCGTCTGTGACTGCTATGGCCTGGGTATTTGTGTCCCCCACAAAACTCACATGTTGAAGCCTAAACTCCCAATGTGATGGCATTTGGAGGTGGGGCTTTTGAGGTGTAGCTAGGTCACCATTGTGGAGCCCTGATGAATGGGATTAGTGCCTGTCTGAGAAGAGCCTATCAGCACCTTAGTCTTGGACTTCTAGCCTCCAGAACTGTGAGAAAGGCATTTTTCTTGTTTAAGCCACCTAGTGTATGATAGTTCATTATAGCAACTCCTTCTGTATGACCAAGACAGTGTCTCTCCAATGATTGCCAGTCCTTCTGGAATCAGAGAGGGGGCATAATGGGATTGGATGGCAGGAAGGGGATGTGGACAGGAGAGCCTGGGAGATGGTGGAACAGATGCAGGGCCTGGGGGGCTATCAGAGAGACACTGCCTTGATAAACCATTCCCATTCAACTTGGTATCCTTCACACAAACACATACTAAGAAAGACCTCAGAATTCCAAGACCATTTATAAATCATACTGAATCCCAGAACAATATATTTTAAACAACTTTAAAAAACAGAACAAAATAAAATAGATAGCAAATCATTTTTAAAAGTGTAGATTCTGTGAAATTAAAGGGTATACTTACGCTGTAGTACAACCTTCAAACATTCCAGTTTTTATAAAAAAGGGGCACACAATTGTGGTTTTGATCCCCTTTTGATTTTGGACAAATGTTTCTACAAATACAGATTCAGCAAGCCCAAAGGCTGCAAATTTACTTGCACAATAATCTGCAAAAGACAAAGCACGTTCATGTATATTCCAAAGTTTTAAAATGGCATTACCTTAAGGTCTACCCATAATGCTAACAGCAACAGATAATAAGAAAACAATTTCAGAGTTCTCCTTTTGTGTAATCTTGGTCTACTCCCACTGGAAGAAGTGAGTAGGGAGTGGGAAGGGACATGGTTAACTGAAGATCAGGGTCAGCTGACAATGATCAAGTGAGGCCCAGCACAAGAAGGGCTGCAGAGATCCTGCCTCAGGTCACACTGCTGGACTTTACTAGCAAGTCAATGCATTGTGAGCCCCTGTGCTAGTTCTTACATGAGGCCCTGTCTCAAAAATTTGCAATCCCACTGGGGCATGAAGACATTCAAAAGAAGAAACAAAACACTAACTGATATAGGAATCTAGGCAAGAGAGGCCAGCATGGGTTGTGATTCTCAGATCAAGTTTTCTTCCAACTCTAACTCTTTCCTTCACTTCCAGAAAAACAACAACAGCAACAACAACAACAACAACAACAACAAATAAAACAAAGGGCTTGGTAGCTTCAACCTCCACCTCTTCAATACCTTGAAAATGCAGGGTAGGGGCAGAGGGAGGAATGGAAAGTGGCACTTGTGTCCATTTTGAACTTTTTGTCTTTAATCATACTTGTTTTAACAAAACATCTGACTATTCAATTGACTAAGTGAAAAAGTTTGGAGAAGAAATGGTGTTGAGGTGCATTAACACTTTCCTTTGCCCCACACATTCAGAGGAGGCATATTTAAACTTGCTATGTTACGGTGCAGCTACTGCAATTGGTAAGAGCCAGTTTATAAGTGCCAGGCATGGGGTTGTCCAGCCCCAGTGCTGTCCAGACAGTGGATCAGAGGCTAGAGACTGGGAAGGGGGAGGAGGAGTCCAGAGCAGCTTCTAGGGTAATTGAAATCATCAGGTATAAATGCAGCTGAGCCCCTTGACCCCTGAGATTCTGATGAGCAGATATGGCCCATGACCCAAGGAATCTGCATGCTAAACTGGCATCCCTGGTGGTTCTGATGCAGGGGAGTAAAGACTCACACGATGGGAAATACCAAAGGCTTACACTTGTTTCCAAGATGAGCTGCGGGTGGGAGAGTCCTGTATCTGAAGACAGGAATATTCTGTCTGAAAAGGATTGATAAGGAGCTGTAAATATACCTGAATGATTTCAAAGGCCTGTGACTTAACAGATGTATAAGACAGAGGTAAGATAATAGCTGATAAGTTCTAAGAAGGAGAGAGGAAGGGAAGTCCTGGGTCATAAGGAGGATAGATTGGTGATATTTAGGGTGACTGGTGGTTCTGAAAAACCTATTCATGTGATGGACATACTGAGCTAAGACTGGTTTTGTCAATCTTGAACTATGCCACTTTGCTTCAAAGCATTAGGAACTACCGAACTGGCAAACTGGCTTATCTGTTACCCGAATGTTGCTGCTACAGTTCTGTTGGATGAGTTTTAGCAATCCTTGTAAGCCAGGACATGGGACATTTGCGCTAGGGGATGCCATGGTAGGTTAGGTCAAGGTTTCTGTTCCTTCTAGAGCCAGCTCCCAAGTTGGGCCTCCTTGGTTGAGGCTCTCGAAGGATCTCTTTGCCTCCTCCCCACTGCTACTGTCAAGTCAGTTGGCTGTTGCAAGGGAGATGAAAATGCCCGCCACTTCCTGCAGGTCTTCAACCAGTGGAAAAACAAAGCAGTTAACTTGAGGTTTCTTGAGGTGAAGAAACTTTATCCAAACTCACAGCAGTGGGGACATCACTTAAAGGAAACTTCAGGAGAAGACAGGGTCATCCTCCTTACCATCCTGTGACAGTGTCAGTGTGAAGTTTGGGGGACAGTTGTTATGTTGATCACTTGTGCAAAAAAATTATCAGTGAGGCTTCTCTCTCTTTTAAACCAAGGGGACTGCATAAGACCTAATGATTCCAAAGGGCACAGTCCAATTTCACGTAAGTCTATCTGATGGGCGGTTTTGCTACACGATGAAGTTATCAACCACTTATTGACTATACTTTTTAGCTTATTATTCTTTATCATTAGGACATCAAGTCAGTGCTAATTATTCAGAGCTATTATGCAAGTTAAAGTTATAGGGAATTTTGCAATTGTAAATGGCTATGTTTTTCTTACCTGCCAGCCCATTTACTCCAACTAATCCAGCTGAACTTGAAATGCAAACCAAATGTCCATGGTCATTAGCAATCATAGCAGGTAGAAAGGCTTTATAAGTCTAAGAAGACAAAGGAAAACTTTTGATGTTTAATGCCACATTGTATAATTTTATCAGATATTTATATACTCATTGTGATCAAAAAATCTTTCTTTTCAGCCCATAAAATATCTGAAGGTATGGGGATATAAAAACTTAAACATCTAGAAAGCAATCATTTTAACTTATTTAACCTGTTAGATCAATTTTTTATGGCAATTCCAGTATTATTAAAATGATTTATTCAGACTTACGTTTTTGCTCATATTTGACTTTTAACGACACAATATTAAGACAAGAATTGACGGAGTATGGGAAAATCTTTGTTGTGGCAGCCACAACCCCAAACCTCACAAACATGATGCTTTAGATTTAGATTGCCTTCTCTCTCCTTAGCTTGATTTTGAGTTTCAAATTTTCCCTGAACATTGTTCACAGGACATCTGGTTGTTGACTTCAATTTTAAAAGAGCACTTTGTTTTAAACTCATCTCTACTCTTTAAAATAAGTTTCTTATTTTTGTTCCATTTCATAAAACAGAATATCTATTAGAAAGAGGGCACATCTGTATACTGTCCAACACCTTCACCATTGACTGGGGGTCTGGAGAAAGAACGTAAAGGAGACAGAAACGAGCTTTTGAAGAAGACATCTTCTGCAACAAAGGAGTAACTAATCACATCCAAAGACATGGAGGTGAGAAAAGGGATCTCTTACAAAGGCCAAACCTCACTTGTTTGCCTGCATTGCAATAAGTCTCAGACAGAAACTAACAGGTAGAGAGAGGTGGGAAATCAAAACAAAGCAAAAGGAAGCAGGGCAGCAAACAATCCGGGGTCTGCCATGAGTTGGGACACTTCTCAGTAGGGATACTGCCTTTGAGAGCCCAGCCTTCAGGTAGCTCTTGGACACTCTAGCAATTGAGTCACTGTCTTTGTGCCTGGCAACGTGCAGATGCTTAAAGAATGTACATGAACTTGCCCAGAAGAAGTAAAGGGAGTGAGAGGACATAAGGAGTGATAGGAGCCAGGGAAACACCAGCATTGGAGGAGGAGGAGAAGGAAGAAAAAGAGGAAGTAGAGGAGGAGTCGGAGTCGGAGGAAGAAGAAGGAGAAAGAAGAAGGAGGAGGAAGGAGGAGGGAGGAGGGAGAAGAAGAAAAAGGAGAAGAAGAGGAAAAAGAAGGAGGAGGAGGAAGGAAGGAAGACGGAGAAGAAGAAAGAGAGAAAGAGAGAGAGAGAGAGAGAGAGAGAGAGAGAACATGAAGGCACCTGGGGAAAAACAGAGAGGTAGGAAAAGAACACAGAGTCAGGCCGAGTGCAGTGGCTCACACCTGTAATCCCAGCATTTTGGGAGGCCGAGGTGGGAGGATCACAAGGTCAAGAGATTGAGATCAGCCTGGCCAACATGGCGAAATCCCGTCTCTACTAAAAATACAAAAAGTAGCTGGGCGTGGTGGTGCATGCCTGTAGTCCCAGATACTTGGGAGGCTGAGGTAGAAGAATTGCTTGAACCCGGGAGGTGGAGGTTGCTGTGAGCCGAGACTGTGCCGCTGCACTCCAGTCTGGCAGCAGAGTCAGACTCTATCTCAAAAAAAACAAAAAAACAAAACAAACAAACAAAAAAAACCCCCACAAAGCCATGGGAGTGGGAGTGGAGACTTCCAGGGACCATGATCTTTATCTTCATTCCAACTATATATGAGTATAAGCAAGCACCAAGGAGAGGGACATTTGGGACAAGATAAATCATTTGCAGTAGCTCCTGTAGGAACATGGTAGCCACTAAATTCTGAATCTTTCCATTTTTCTCCTGAAAACTTTACAAAACACCAAGAATAGCACCAGCACCATTACATTTTTGGTGGAAATAGGGGACAGAAAATCTACAAATTCCAAATTACATTTGAAGGCTGCTAAAGAAGAGTTGGGCAGAAAGGTGTGAGGAGAATTGAGGAGGAGCTCAGAAATCTCCAGCAAAGACTCCCGGGAGACAGCCTTGCCCAGGAATGACGAGCTACGAGCAGGGCTGCAACCAAACAGGTCAAAAGTCCTGTAATTCCAGTACTGTGGGAGGCGAGGCAGATGGAACACTTGAGGCCAGGAGTTCAAGACCAGCCTGGCCAACATGGCAAAACCCTGTCTCTACTAAAAACACAAAAAATTAGTCGGGTGTGGTGGCACGCACCTGTAATCCCAGTTACTCAGGTGGCTGAGGCACAAGAATCGCTTGAATCCAGGAGGCGGAGGTTACAGTGAGCTGAGATTGCACCACTGTACTCCAGCCTGGGAGACAGAAGGAGACTCTGTCTCAAAAAATTAAAATAAAATGATAAAGTAAAATAAAAGTAAACTTTTAATAAAAGCTGGGAGAGGTAGCAAGACGGTGCATGCATAGTGTGGGGCGGCCTGAGATGGCTGGTCTCAGCACATGCCAGAAAAATGCAACTTCTGGAATTGAGTGGGTAGCTTTAGAAGTCAGGACTGTGTTTTTAGTGCTGGTAGCAGGTGGTAACCCGGGTTACCAGTGGAGCCTCTAATTTCTCTGGTTGGGTACTAACGAAGGTGACTGTAGGTTTTGGTTTGCCCATAACAGACCTGATTAACGCTTGCTCATTAATAATGCTGAATTTCACTTCCAAAAGCGTCCCAGCTTAGACAAATTACAATGCTACCCTGGTCCTGTCTAAGTTTAGTTACCCGCTATGTAGCCTGGAGCAAATCTTTTACGTTCTATGATCCCTTATCTTACCAAGCTGTTTTAAGGAAAATATGTGAGCCACCTGGAGTATTCCCTAACATTTGCAGCTAATCAATACATGGTAGCAGGACCATAAGGACAGTTCTGTCCTTGTAGGATTCCCTGAGCAGAGGTCCTGGGAGCTGTAGATTAAGTGGCATCAGAAGAGGACAACTGCGTAGACCAGGACAAGTCCAAAATTGAGAAGTCTCCGCTTTACTTAGAGGCTAATAACATTGTAAAAGAGCAAGAGGAAAGTACTTCTAAATGCCAGAGTAACTTTACATTTATTATGAGAAGAAACAATTATTACCCATAAATGTGCTTTGAAATTCACATCAAATGACTTTTCCATAAGCTCATCTGGACAGTCAAGGAAATTTTTGCCTGTTACAATTCCGGCATTGTTGATTAGGATGGAAACATCGCCGACTTCTTTTTTAACCTGAATTGAATAAGAGCAACACCACCAATGTAGTAATTCCTTATATGATCTAGATTTTATTTTCCCACAGTTTTATGTTTTTTTATCCTGGTTAATTCATACTGAGTTTATGCACTCTAAAAATACAGCTTGGGGCCAGGCTCAGTGGCTCACACCTGTAATCCCAGCACTCTCGCAGGCCGAGGCAGGTGGGTGACTTGAGGACAGAAGTTTGAGAACAGCCTGGCCAACATGGCAAAATCCTGTCTCTACTAAAATTACAAAAATTAGCCAGGCATGGTGGCGCATGCTTCTGGTCTCAGCTACTCGGGAGGCTGAGGCAGGAGAATTGCTTAAACCAGGGAGGTAGAGGTTGTAGTAAGCCAAGATCACGCCACTGCACTCCAGCCTGGGTGACACAGCAAGACTGCGTCTAAATGAATAAATAAATACAGTTTGGTTTATTTACATTGCTGAGTCTACAGTGTACCAGAGATCAAGTTTTTTTGTGTGTGTTTGTTTGTTTTTTTTTTTCGTTTTTTTTGAGATGGAGTCTCCCTCTGTTGCCCAGGCTGGAGTGCAGTGGCACGATCTCGGCTCACTGCAAACTCCACCTCCTGGGTTCACACCATTCTCCTGCCTCAGCCTCGCAAGTAGTTGGGACTACAGGTGCCTGCCACCACACTCGGCTAATTTTGTTTTTGTATTTTTAGTAGAGACGGGTTTTCACCGTGTTAGCCAGGATGGTCTCAATCTCCTGACCTTGTGATCCACCTGCCTTGGCCTCCCAAAGTGCTGGGATTACAGGTGTGAGCCACTGCGCCCGGCCTCCAGAGATCAAGTTTTGATGTGCTTTCCCTGTTTTTCTTAAAACGAGTCCATTGTCAAAACGCTACTTTCTGTTTACAGTTACAGCTCTTCTTCTACTCAGTGGTTAGTAACTTTGTTCTGTGCTCTGTTTGTGGCATTTCATTTTAATCAATGTGATGGGACATAAGAATAGCTTCATTATAGCCAAATGGGGTATAGATCAAGACTTTGCACAAATGAAGAAGGGGCTGGGTTAGGGAATAAATGGAGGAAAAAAGAAAATACAGTCATAAATCACTTAACAATGGAGATACATTCTGAGCAGTGCATTGTTAGGTGACTTGGTTGCTATGTGAAGATCACAGAGCATACTTAATAAACCTAGATGTGCGCCTACTACACATCTTAGGCCATATGGTGGAGCCTACTGCTCCTAGGCTACCTACCTGTACAGTGTGTTACTACACTGAACACTGCAGGCAACTGTTAACACATTGGTAAGTATTTGTGTATCTAAACATAGAACATTGGGACAGTAAAAATACTGTAATAATCTGTCCCATAATGTGGGACCACCATTTTGTATATGGTCCATCATTGACCAAAATGTCATTATATGGTGCATGACTGTATATATTTTAAACACACAGCACAGATTAGAATCTGCCTGTCCTGTTTTCATCAACTGGCTGGTTTTCTTCTTTCCGAGGATGGACACCTGAACTCAAGGCTAAGCTGTGGCCTAGGGATACAAGCTTTCAAAGTTATCGGAGACTCAGCAGAGACAAAACGCTGTCATATCACTCTGAAAGCTTTCTCTTTGATTGTTTGTCTATGGGCTACTTCTTAAAAATTCTCTGGTATTGGCCGGGCATGGTAACTCACGCCTGTAATCCCAGCACTTTGGGAGGCTGAGGCGGGCGGATCATGAGGTCAAGAGACGGAGACCATCCTGGCCAACATGGTGAAACCCTGTCTCCACTAAAAATACAAAATGTATCTGGGTGTGGTGGCACGTGCCTGTAGTCCCAGCTACTCAGGAGGCTGAGGCAGGAGAATCGCTTGAACCTGGGAGGCGGAGGTTGCAGTGAGCCGGGATCATGCCACTGCACTCCAGCCTGGCGACAGAGCAAGACTCCATCTCAAAAAAAAAAAAAAAAAAAATTCTCTGGTACTTTCCCTTCTATCCAGAATAAAAAGTGGAAATGGTGGGTTTATACGGATGGGGAGTAATTTCCTTCCCCTGAATTCAGAGGAGCAAATAACTAATTCCCTCCAAGACCTCACAGTGATAAAACCTGAATAATAAGCTGGTAATGACATGTTTGGCTATTTCTGAAGTCAAGCACCTGGGGCAGAACTAAATCACCATTACAGGGGAAAGGGAAAGGGAGGTAATTATTTATAGAGTGCTTCATACTAGTTTATCCCATAGCTAATAATCTTCATTGTTTGAATATCAACCGATTATTGCTTACGGCTGGCCAGATAAATTGTAGTCAGTGTAAGTCAACATGCCAGGTGTTTAACTTCTGAGTAGCTAAATTTGTGAGATCAGCTGTGCTTGGAAGAGTGGGCCCAGTGTAGGCCTAGCAAACTTGTCAGGTGTGGATCTCCAGCCTGTACTGGGCAGCCTGTGGTTGGAGATGGTGGTAGCAGAGAGGCAAAATGTAAAGACAAACTTGAAAGTCATAAACTTACCTGCCAGGGACCTGCAAACCTTAGCAAGGAAATCCTGGTTGAGCCTAGAAACTATGGAGTAACTTTACAATGTAGTCAGGCTGCTCACGGCAGGTTTGGTTGGTTCCTCCCTTCTCAATAAGTTGGGCAATTCTGGGAGGCACAAAGTGTCCCAGGAGAGTGATGAGTGAAGTACTTAAGCCAATGTGAGGACACAAAAATCCTTAGGCCAGGCACAGCAGCTCACACCTGTAATCCCAGCACTTTGGGAGGCCGAGGTGGGTGATCACCTGAGGTCGGGAGTTCGAGAACAGCCTGACCAACATGGAGAAACCACGTCTCTACTAAAAACACAAAAAAATTAGCCGGGCGTGATGGCACATGCCTGTAATCCCAGCTACTCGGGAGGCTGAGGCAGGAGAATCGCTTGAATCCGGGAGACAGAGGTTGCTGTGAGCTGAGATGGCGCCATTGCACTCCAGCCTGGGCAACAAGAGCGAAACTCTGTCTCAAAAAAAAAAAAAAAGAAAAAAAAAATTCCTTGTGAGGGATGGGCACGTGCCTCTACGATGGTAAGAAAATCCTTACCATCCTCATGTCAGAGCTTTGGTTTTCTGAAAGCTTTATGTGTATCTGTATAAACACCAAAGAAGAAAACGTAGCTGAGTCTTTAGGATTAATAAAAGATTTTGATTGTCTTACGACTACTTAAGAGCAATACTTCGAATGTAGGTGGGGTGGACACAGCCTAAATTTAAAATCAGACAGAATATGGATTCAAATCCTGCCTCTATCACACACCAGGTCTGTGAACCCTGGGCAGGTTATTTAATGTCTCTGTATCTCGATTTCTTTATCCTCAAAGAAGGATGCCTCTATCCCTCCATTAACTTATACTGTAATAGGGGCCAGTACAGTCAGTGCAGTGTAATGTTAGGAGCAGGTACTCAGGTGTCAACAGACACAGTGGCAGCTTTAGTCTTGCTACTTACTAGTTGTGTTTCTTAGGTAAGCTACATACCTGCCCTAAGCCTTAGTCTCCCTACTTGTGAAATGGGGATAATAATGGGTTTTACTTTATAAGGTTACAATACATACATGGTAGTTAGCATAGTGTCTTGCATACAATAAGAATTCAAAAGTCCCAATTTCCATTCTCCCATAATCTTGTCTACATTAAAGGAACACTGGAGAAAGGCTAACAGGCACTGAGAAAGGCAAGGGAAAAAGAACATGATATATGTCAAATTATAATAGTAAACACACAAGAGTTACCTGATCGGCTACTCTATACACTTCTTCCTTTTGGCTGCAATCGCAAGTATAGGCGTGCACTCTTGTGACCCCAGCTTCCTGAGCCATCTTACATGTTTCCTCATTCCCCTCCTTATTGACATCCCAGAGAACAAGCACAGATCCCCGTCGGGCAAACTGCAAAGCTAAGAGCCTTCCGAGTCCACTTCCAGCACCTGTGATGAGGACTATTTCACCAGCAACGTTCTTCTGTTGCTTTGGGAGTAAGGCAAAAATCATAGCCTCCAGAAGAGTAAACAGTGATTTTCCTAAGAAAATGAACAGTTTCTTTGATGATTGCAGGTTGAAAGACATGTTCTGGCTGACACCTATGAAGAAAGACAGATTCACGTGAGGACTTATTTGTCCATTTCCTCTGAGTTGTTTACTCCACGGAGCTCCTATATTCTGAAATAGTGAAAGTAACTGAGCTATGTGATTTAAACAGCTCTCCTGGTAGCAGACTCCGAATTCAGAAAGGGGGAGGAGGAAGCCACAGGGACTATATTTACTCAACTTTCATACTTGGCCCTAAGCTCAGCACATTATTTGCATGACTGCTACGTGCAGTATACAACAGAAATGTTTGTTAACCAGGAACTGTAACCACCGCACCCAAATTTAACATAAAGAATAAGTTCATTATTCTTTATAGTTAGCCTTTCTTCATAATAATCATGAATACTGTTGGCTGATTTTATGTTCAAAGTCTTGACCAATCATCACAATGTTTATAACATAATTACTACCTCTCTGACTTTATTTTTCTCTCCTTTGATGTTTGTGCTTTCTCATTTGCATTATCGTTCTTTAATTTTGCATTACTGTATAAAATCTGAGATTTGAGAGGAAAATATAAAATCTTATTTGTAGAAAGCATTTGACAGGAAGTAACCAGATGTTCTAGACCTTTTCCGACAGATTTGCGATCAGCACCAGATAGTCCTTCCCTAGGCTCTGAGGTCCCCACGCCACCAACTCCACATCACTTACCACTCTGTGTGATTAAAGGTCAGAGGGGAGGCAGACCTGGACTCCTGCCCTGCACTGCCTCTGCCTACCTGTAAACCCCAGGGGGGAGCGTCTTGGCCTAACACTGGGCCTTGGTATCCTCATCTGTACTGGTCCCGTGGCATAGGGTGTTTTTGCAGATGAAATGAGAATGTTCCACGTATCACCACAATGCCTGACTTATAGTCAGTGCTTTACAGACGTTATCACATTTCTCAGATTCATGGTACTGCCCACCAAGAAGGCACCTACTAGGTCTGCTGAATGAATAAAAGGCCCCCCCCTTGACAAACTCATACAGAGCTTAGTGCTTACATCCTGCTACCAGTTACTCACACTTTAGTGTGAATGAGTATATAAAATGCTTTCCTAACCACTAGCTGAGAAAGAAGGGAAGGTCTTATTTCCTTCAGGATGAGAACAGAAGACATACTTAGCAGAGGGCATACCGTGCTGGGGGTAGGAGCCTTCTCTGAATGGGGTGCTTAATTGAGAGGCTCAGACGAAGGCACAGGTGTGAGGAGACGGGAGGGGAGTAATGAAAAAACAGCAGGTCTTCACTTCACAGTTTGGCTGAAGTCAGCCTAGTTATGGTTAATGAGTAAGGCTGGATAGATTCATCTACAGGAGGACTTGGTACGTGGTCACACCCTTAGGAAATGTCAAGAGTTGATGTGACCCAGGCTGTTGTTCCTGGCTTATTGTACAGATGAGACTGAGGATCCGAGAGAAGATGTATGTGACTGTTCAGGTCCCTGTGCTGGTTAGCTGGTGTGGGCCAGATTGGTTCATGTGTTCTGTTTATTGAGTATTCACCCCGTGCTGGTTCTATCTGGGCACTGAGGCTGAGGGGATGAGCAGCCTCTCATAATCTCTGTGCAGGTGAGCCAAGTAATCTAGTTGAAGAGACATATTCAACAAATAAATACATCGTTACAAGCCATAGTGTTATAAAGAAAAGTGCAGTGTGCTATAGAGAGAATGATGGGAGAGCTGATTCAGATTGGGCCTGGGGGAGGAAGTAACAGAGGTCTGCTGGAAAGTGACCCTTTGAGTGGATATCCAAATGATGATGGTGGGAGGTAGGGATATTGAGCAATAGCTTTCCTGGCAGAGGGACAAAATAGTTTGTTGTAAGGCAGGTTTGACCTGTGTGTCCAGGGCTGTCCAGAGAATAAGAATGCTGGCTCTAAGGAACATGGACCTTCTTGTCAAATGAAGGACATTTTCATCCATGCTTTGATGAAATAGACCTCAAACGCTCTGTGATCTCTGCTCTGATTTACATTCACAGAGAAACTTTTAGAAGATTGTTCAGGCCTCCCAGGCGCTGCAGAACTGGAAAAGAAGGCGTCCTGAAAGAGGACTCTTATTTCAAATACACAGTCATGGAGCCTGTGCCTGTGGATCTGCAAGGATGAGGGTCAGACTGTGCACACAGTAATGGGAAACCCCAGGCACCCTTCTCAGACAGCAGCCTGGGCATTGCCAACTTTGGAAAATCCATACCAAGGGTAGTTGGTCAGACCACCACACTCCCTTTTATATCACTATGTGAATTCACACAGAGGGACAGAGGTCTACTTCTCCCATTACAGGGCTCCAGCACCTCAGCAGTGGCCAGAAGTCTCAACATTGACCTGGGTGACATGAATGCTCTTAATGTCAGAACATTCTAGATTTCAGTGTTCCACTGTCTCCATGTTGGCTTGATGCAAGACCTAAAATATGTCCATCTTTTAACCCTGTCTTGGCAGATGCTTACTAGATTTCTAAGAACTTGTCAGGCTGAGTTACCCCCTCCCCAGTTGAAGTTTAGGGTGCCTGCTGGGCACCCACATAAGCAATGAGGTCTACAGATTAAAGTTTGGTTTGGAATTCCAGATACATCACTGATTTTCCCTACAACTTTGGTAGAAATGATTTACCTTCTTGTGCCTCGGTTTCCTCCTCTAAAAAGGGAGTTTCTAATAGTACATAGGAATACTTACCACACAGAGGAGCTGTGAGAATTAAACCAGTTTATATAGGTAAAGTATTAAGGAGCGTTATGTGGTCACTACTAGCTTGTGTGAGACCTTTGAACAAATTAGAAAAAAAAAAAAAGGCACTACTCTGCACAAAGTCCTCTGCGGGGTGTACAGGGTTGGGGAGGGGGTGCAAGAGGAGTTGTTTGGATTCCAACACCTGCCAGCTTACATGTCTCCCCCTCTGCTCCTCAGTCCCCATAATAATGTGGCACAGCCATAACATGGAGGCCTTTCTAGAACAGTGCCAGGCACGGAATGACAGCAAAATAATTAATGGCTAGAACTTCCACTGGTGTTCCTGTTAAGCAAATGCATTAATAATCCCTGGCTATACCAATGAAATATGGTTATAGTATACTTACAAACAGGTGTGAATGCACGGTTCTATTTTACTGCAGAGACTTTCCTAGAATGTTACGGAGCATATACAATTTAATCTGGCAGGTTTCTAGGTGTCTCTAGCTCACGGCCTACCCAATCCAAACAGGCGCCCTCGGCTTCCCAGGCCAGTGGGCGGCAGCAAGTCGGCTCTGGTGAGGGCACCCGGACGAAACGGGAGGGCAGACAGACTGACAATCACAGCTTGGGTTGAAAGGGGTGATATGGGGGTGGTAGGGCCCGAGAGGTGGATTCACTGAGCAGCAGAGAGCAAGGAACCTGGGCAGAACGGACCGAAGAAGAAGGTCCAGGGAGGCATCCTGCCCTCTGCTCTGAGTGGGGAGGGAGGCTGGCAGCTCACCTCCGGGGGCGGGGTGTCTGCGTTAGCCGTAGCCACGCGAGCCTGGGCTTCGGGGACGCTGCAGCCGTGCGCTCCCGGGAGGAGTTCTGTTCTCACCAGCTCGCGGGTGGGTCCGGCCGCGGCTCGGCGACCCGCGCCCCCTTGCGCGCGACCCAGCGTGAAACCAGCCCAAAGGGCCGCCTCGCCCGACCCCCGCCAGCGCCACCTCCTCCGGGAGCCAGCACCCAGGACCGACGACCTCGGCAACTCACCCAGGACACTCTCCTTAGCTGCCCGCGGAGAAGCCGGCCTTGTCTGCCCCAGGCACCCGAGTCCCTGCCTAGTAACTCAGCGAGGTTCAGGTGTTTACCCAGATGCTGCCCGAGGCCAAGTCCAAGGGCGGGACGGCCGCGGCAGCGCCGGGGGTGGGGCCGGCAGTAGCCCCAGCACGCGACGTGGGCCGCACTCCTATCTTCTTTTTCTGGACCCGCAGATTTAAGAAGCTGGAAATTCGGTGGTGGAAACTGGATGCGAGCGCCGGATTTCTCTTAGGCTTAACGTTTCAATGCCTAGGCTGCACCCCAGAGTATTAGATGGGAATTTCTGGGTTGGGAGGGGCCCAGGCATTAGCTAGAAGAGTTTCCCAGGTATTTGCAAGGCACAACCCCGAGACTGGGAACTCTGGAGTTAGAAAACAAAGAGCAGTGTAGGCGTCCACGGGGGAGGGGCCAGGTCGTTTGTCTGGAGCCTGCAATGCGGGGAGTTCTCCAGCAGCATCTGATTGCTCCACGTGGGAACCTAAGTCAACAGCTTCCTTGCCCCTTGGAGGTAAGGGATGTGGGCGTGGGCTCGGGAGTCCCCAGGAAGTGGGTGGGGTGCAGGCAGGGGCGGGAGTGGGTGCGGCGCTGGCAGGCGGCCTAGGAGAAGAGGGCGAGGAAATTTGTTCTAACAAAATGAAGCTGAGAAATGAAGATAGAGTAAGTCACCAGGCACTCTGACCCAATCAAGATATATTAAGCATCTGGGTGTACTGCGATCCGGAAAATACAGCGATGATATATCTGTCAAGAAAAAAAAAAGGGTAAACATTCATTAATAAATCAGTAAAAGAGTTAATATAAGCACAAGACATCACTGAAATGCTAATAATAGAGAGTGAACTTTTCTGGGGGCAATGAGGAGCAGAAATGACAATAAATTATGGGATGTTGAAAGACATTGCAAAACAGGGGAGTCAGGATGAGATTGGGTTTGAAATTCATGCCGGGGCTGAGTAGGACAGGAAAAGTGGTGAGGGGTCGAAGAGCAGCCTTAGCCAGCCTATATCTGGGACAGATCTGGAGTAGAGGAACTGCACATTTGTTCTTTATTTAAGTGACAGAGGAAACAGGCAGGTCGTATAAGCTTAGAAAAGTAGGTGCAGGGGAGACCCTCGACTTTCTTTTCAGTGCTTAAGAGGTTACTTGTGTGCTTTAGGCAGCAGCAGCGAACTGTGGCAAGCTATGCGAGGCATGTGGGAAGGTGAGTGGGGTAAGGGTGTGTGCATTGGTTTCAGGTCAGCCGTCACCACCCAGCGACACTGCTGTGTGGGGCTCTGGGGAGTTGCAGGGCTTCGGAGGGAGAAGGGAGACACATTCATGAACAGTGCGGGTGATAGACATGCACCCCAGGTGCCTCCAGAGTCCACAACCAGCCTGCAGGAGGAGAGGCAGTTGGACTCAAAGGGCCTTCCAGAATGGGTTAAGGTGTGGAGGTGAGCAGCGCCTGGGAGTGAGAGTGGACTGAGGCAGAGACACGTCGGGTAATGGGCCCTTGATGGTGTCGTCTGCCTGCAAGAGTTCAGATGGGTGGACACTGGGAAACATCAGCCTCCTATTATCTTCATGGCTTCTCTGAGCAGAATCCTGGGCTGTCACTCTTCTTTCTGGTCAGAAGCCCTGGGTGGACCTCAAGAAAGAAATTTGGAGCATTATTAGAAATCTCATCAGTACAAAAGATGAGAGTAAGTAGTGGGGGATGCACCGGTGATGCAGTGAAAGAAGCCAGAGGTCCTGCTGGTTGGAAAGGGCCCTGCTTTGACTTGATGTGGGGGAAACTCAGAGGACTGACCATAATCCTGAAAGCTAGGAAAGGATTTCTAAAGGGTCTCTTTTGGCAAAGGCTAGGAATGGACAGTTTATGATAGAACATGTGTCATGGGTTAATAAACATGAAAAAGTGGTTTAATCTTAATCTTAATTTCTTTGATCTTAGGGCCAAAGAGATGCATAGTAAAACATTTCTTGCCTTGCAAATTGAAAGTTTTTTTTAAAAGAATGCCTTCATGTGGGGGTATAAATTATGCATTTCTGGAAAACAAATATGTATCAAGAATTAGAAAGGGATATACCCTCTGACCCAATTCCACCTTTATCTTTACCAAATACCCAGGTATTGTCTGTGCTCCTTCAGGAAGGGAAACTGGGTCACTGAGAGTCAGCGATGGGGAAGAGACTTTTCACTCCACTGAATCATGTGAATGTAGTACCTTTTTAGGAAATAAGTGTATTAATCAAAATAAATTGATTTTTAATTCCTAAGAAGTATGTGCAGATGGAGTACTCTATAGTCATCTTTATAAAATCATGTTTTTCAAGAGTATGAAGTACACTTCACAGAATATGAGTTTAAAAAACACAGTACAAGACTAAATATGTAAATGACGAGTTGATGGGTGCTGACGAGTTGATGGGTGCAGCACACCAACATGGCACAAGTATACGTATGTAACAAACCTGCACGTTATGCACATGTACCCTAGAACTTAAAGTATAATAATAATAAAAAATAAATAAATTAAAAAAAGACTAAATGTATATGCTATGATCCTAATTTCTGTGAAAATTTTATGTACATGCATTAGAAACACTGGAAGTGAGTTCACCAACATCTTAACATTTTTTATAATATAGTAGTGGAATGTTGGTTGAATTTACTTCTTTGTATCTTTTGGTATTTTCCAAATTTTCCACTATGTGTATATCTTTATCTCACAATACAAATGTTTCTGTGGCCACACATACACAGATGCTTCCATTCCAGATGGCACACTGAACATATGCATTCATATCCTATTTTCTTCCAAAATTCCATGGAAATAAAAGAGAAAATATAAAAATGCAAATAAACATGTTAGTGCTAGAAAAAAGAAAGGAGCTACCAGTGAGGGTTGACTTCATTAAGCAGATGGATCCTATTTCCAGAAACCAGAGCAAAAGATACCTTAAGCTATGACACACGGAAGGTACTGCAAAAATGAGTCATTCTTCCCAACAGAAAGCCCGAGTAACCCCAATTCAGCAAACAAACACAGAGTGTAAATAGGACACGGGACACTCAGATGGATAAGAGTGTTAACTTGAAAAGCAAAACTCTGCAGGTATTGAAATACAATATTGAAAAATTGTTTTGAAATTTGGGACTAGGCAAGGAAATATCATAAGTGAAGTAAGATGATAAACAACAGACTAGGAGAAAATAGTTTTGCATAAAGAGTTGACCATTGATAATTGGCCATAATATATAGCATTTCTATAATCTGATTGAGATAAGACAGTGGGAAAAATTGATAAAGAAATTTATAGGTAAATAAATATAAATTATTGAAAATGCCTTAAAAATGCTAAATTTCACTCATATTCTGGAAAAGGAAATTGGAAAAGGAATAACCTTTTCTTCATTCATTAATATCCACATATTAAAAAGTCAGATAAGAATTCAGGATCGGGGCTGGGCATGGTGGCTCATGCCTGTAATCCCAACACTTTGGGAGGCCAAGGCAGGCGGATCACCTGAGGTCAGGAGTTCGAGAGCAGCCTGGCGAAAACCCGTCTCTACTAAAAATACCAAAATTAGTTGGGGGTGGTGGCGGGCGCTTATAATCTCAGCTACTCACTAGGCTGAGGCAGGGAGAATTGCTTTAACCTGGAAGGCGGAGGTTGCAGTGAGCAGAGATCGCGCCATTGCACTCTAGCCTGGGTGACAGAGCAAGAATCCGTCTCGGGGGAAAAAAAAAAAGAATTCAGGATTGGCAAGGGTGTGGGAACACAGGCATTCTCACACAATGTGGGGGTATTTATCGTTGAGTCTTTTATGGACAGTAATTGGGTAGTAGCTATCTTAACTTTTGACCTCTATTTCACATCTAGGAATCTATCACATAAGAATATTGACACTTCCAGCACTCTGGGGGGCCGAAGCAGGTGGATAATGAGGTCCGGAGATTGAGACCATCCTGGCTAACACAGTGAAACTCCATCTCTACTAAAAATACAAAAAATTAGCCGGGTGTGGTGGCACACACTTGTAGTCCCACCTACTCAGGAGCCTGAGGCAGAAGAATCGCTTGAACTCGGGAGGCAGAGGTTGCAGTGAGCCGAGATCACACCACTGCACTCCAGCCTGGGTGACAGAGTGACACTTCGTCTCAAAAAAAAAAAAAAAAAAAAAAGAATATTGACACTTGTAACAGAAGAATTTTTTATTGAAGCTTGTTTGTGATAGCAAAAAATGAGAAACTACTTGAATGCACAGCTATTCCATTAATCATGATATACTCATATAATAGAATTCTCTGAAGCCAAAAAAAAGAATGAAGTTAGAAATGTATTTACTGGCAGGGGGAGATCTCCAGGCTGTGGTCAGTGAAAAAAAAGTACAGAATTAATCCATTGAAATTAAATTGATGATTACTGTGCATTGTGCATGCG